ACTGAAATACTTAATTACAAAACCCCTTATGAAATGTGGTATAATAAAAGACCAAACATAGCTAATATGCAGAAATTTGGTTCAATAGTATATGCAAAACAACTACATACAAATATAAAGAAACTTGATCCAAGAAGTAAGAAGCTTATAATGGTTGGATATGCTAATAATGGTTATAGATTATGGAATGAAAAAGAAAGAAAAATAGAAATAGCAAGAGATGTTGTGTTTTACGATAAGAAAATACCAGATGATAAAATGACAAGAGAACAGAAAATAAGAGAAAACTATCATGGAAAAATTATACCAGAAAATTATAATGAAATAACAATACTAGAAAATGATGAAGAAATGACACAAAATGAACAAGAAGAAAATGAGAACTATGATAATATACAAGAAGTAGAAATACATGGTGATGAACTACAAATAGAAGAGAATGATCAGACTACAGTAGAACGAGAATATGATAATGAAAATATAGAAAATGACACAATAGAAGAAATGCAAACTAAAACCAGAAGAGAAAAGAAAGTACCAAGTTATCTTCAAGATTATGTATTACTTACTTACAATGAAGTAATGAATTCCGCTGAAAGGAAACATTGGGAAAAGGCAATAAATTCGGAGAAGGAATCGTTAGAAAGTAACAATACATGGGAAATAGTAGACATAGAAAAAGCAAAAGGAAATAAAATCTTGACTAATAAATGGGTATTTTGTATAAAAGAAAATGGTTCATATAAAGCCAGACTTGTTGTTAGAGGATTTGAACAGAAAGACATTGATTATCAAGAAATATATAGTCCAGTAGTAAGTCAATCAGCATTAAAATCATTATTTGCAATAGCTGCTTCTAAAGAATATGAGATGATAACGTTTGATGTAAAAACTGCATTTTTATATGGAGAGTTAAATGAAGAAATTTTTATGAATATACCAGAAGGATATGAAAAACAATCAAATAAAGTCTGTTGCTTAAAGAAAGCATTGTATGGATTGAAGCAAGCTCCAATCACATGGAATAAGAAATTTACTGAAACAATGTTAAAACTTGGTTTGAAACCTTCAAAAACTGACCAGTGTGTATTTTCCACTAAAGATAAAACAATAATAATTGCTATTTATGTAGATGATGGATTGGCTATAAGTAAAGATAAAGCAAAGTTAATGAATATATTACATCACTTAGAGAAAGAATTTAAAATAAAAATTTATGAAAAACCTACAAACTATGTTGGATTTGAAGTGACTAAAACAAAAGAAGGAATATTACTGCATCAACAAAACTATACAAAGAGATTACTTAAAAAGTATAATATGTCTGAATCTAAACCTGCAAGTACACCAAGTAACACTGACAAGAAAAAGGAATTGAGAAATATAGATTCATCAAATTTTCCTTACAGAGAGTTGGTAGGAGGATTGCTATACTTATCTACAAGATCAAGACCAGACATAAGTCAAGCGGTAAACGAAGCAAGTAAGAAAATTGAATATCCATCTCGAGAAGATATAATTGCTATAAAGAAAATACTAAAATATTTAAATGGAACAAGAACTAAAGGGATAATGTACAAAACAGGAGGAAATATTACACAATTAGATGCATACTGTGATTCAGACTATGCAAGCTGTATTGAAACTAGACGTAGTACTACAGGGTTTGTCATAATGTTAGCTGGTGGACCTATATCGTGGTGCTCCAAGAGACAACCAATAGTTTCTCTTTCGTCAACAGAGGCGGAGTATATTGCAGCTTCAGATTGTTGTAAAGAATGTTTATATTTGAAATCATTTTTAAGTGAACTAATAGATAGTAACATAAAAGTTGTATTGAATATTGACAATCAAAGCTCAATTCAGTTGATAAAAACTGGTTCTTTTAGTAAAAGATCAAAACATATTGATGTGAGATTCTATTTTATACATGAAAATTATAAAAAAGGGATAATAGATATAAAATACTGTCCAACAAATTTACAAATAGCTGATATGTTTACAAAGCCTTTGTTTAAAGATAAATTTGACTTTCATTCTAAAAGAGTTGTAAAATAAAAAATCAGAAGTTTTAAATAAGAGATAAGTAAAAGAAATTTGTTAATTTAGAAATTTGTTTGTAATAAAATTGAATAGAATATAAGTATTTTTAAATTTGTTAAAATTTTAAAAATAGGAGAAGGTGTTAAGTGTGGCAACTAATGTGAGTTGGCAACACTGAGTTTAAAAAATAAGAAGTGCTAAGAAATATAAAAAATATGGAGGACATTTTGTAATTTTGTAATAAGCTGTTTAATTAATAAAGTTAATATAGAACACATAAAAGCATATGATTATTCTCTCTCTTCCTCTGTGCCTGCGAAACCGCGACACTTATAACCTCTTATAGATCGAAATTAAAGATGTATTATACGCTTAGGTGCCCTATAAAAGGATGCTGTGGTTGTAAATGTACTCGAGAGTAGACAAACTAGTAAGCTATTCTTATAACTGCTAAAATAACTCATTATAGAACTATTACAAGTAAAGTACGCCAATAAAAGTGCTAAACATACTGGAAACCATTTGCATTTATTACTTGATTTTGTATAGGTTTATAAATCCACTTTAGATAACAATTATAAGTAAAATGGATAAGTTTTATAGTGGTATAACTTAATATTGTTATAATCACAATACTACTATAAAGGTTTTGATACAAGAATGTATTGGTTTAATATGATCCTGCAAAAGTTGTTATAGTCTCAACCAAAATATTTTAATTCTGATAAATCTTATTCCTTGCCGAACTGCTATTAACTTCTGTTATCAAATGGATCTGTATAAATAGAAACGGCTAAAAAGAAGTGGTTCTTACAAACGAAAAGTTCCGAAAACCTATGAGCAAATAATTCGGGTGTCCGGTTTGAACTTTATGTCTGGCGAAGAAAGTATTGTAGAAACAGGAAATAGTGCCGTACAAAACAATTCTTGTGATAATTTGAGACAGAACGTTTATAATACCAACTCTTCATAAATTGTTATCTCTCTTTCCATCCCATGGTTGCCTGGATGAAATCGCTTTAAGCGATAAGGCCGCCAATTGTTACATTGTATTGTAAAATGTTTTAAATTTGTAAATGTAACTTTGTGTAATGTTAACAATAAAGAATTTTCTATTCTATTCTATTCTCAGCACAAAATGACGCTTTATCGATAAAAATCGATTTGAATTCAGACCTTGAATTATCAAATGAGGAATCTGTATCAGAAGATGAAAGCGATATTGAAGGTTATTCTAATCTTGAACTACATGGTGATCTTAGAAAATGGGCTGTAGACCCGAGAGCATTATATTGAAATATGTGGTAATGTTATTGAACAAGCCCAAGCTGCATTCGATCAACCAATAAAATCGTTATTTCTTAATATATATCAATGCAATTTCAATTAAATCAACGACAATAAAAAGGAAAACGTCTTTAAAATTTCAAACATAAAATGTAAGATTGATTGTTGTGTACAGTTCAAATATATCAAATATACCGCTTTTGCACACATTGTGAATTACCAGAATTATATAAATATTTGAAGAACATTACTTTATTTTTAATAATTCACTGATTGGTTAATTCCGTTAGTAGTTATAATTTCTGCTAAAATACTTACCAAACTCGTTAATGGGTCAGAAGTTAAAAAAAATAAACAAAATATTGATACCTGCTTATGAATTTTTATTCAAGGTAAATTAAAATTTTTCCCTCTTACTTAGATTTCCTACCTTACTTTTACACAATAATTTATTCCCAAGGCCACCTTAAGGTTTTCAAAGCTCGAAAATCGCTTTTAGTCAAAAAGTGATCGACGTCCAAAAACACTACTAAGCTAAATTTTGATACCTAAACAAAAATTTTATAATAAAATATGAAAAATATTCAGGTTATATTAATATTTGTTGAACCCTGATTCCAAAAAATATGGCCAAGAAACGGTTCTAATGTCTGCCCTTTTTAGACAAAGTACGCCTAAAATGGTTTTTTAATGTATTTGGAAAAACCATCTGACAAGATGGCGACTTTTCGTTATATGATCTTACTGAAACCGAAATTATTTCGAAATCTAACTTATTAAAAACGCTACTACTGAGAGGCGAGTAAAAATTTTAATAGAAAACCTATTATACTTCACCGAAAATATACATGCGCCAGCCATTACTTATTGTTACATAAGTAACACTTTACTTATAATTAATATTTTAGATATTATTTATAGTTAGAAATGGATGAAAATTTACCATTATCAATATAAATATGTGCAACAACATTTGCCAATTCAGAACACTTTGAATGAGCCTATAAGAGATTTTTTACTGTCGTATTTAGTTCCATTAAGCGCTGATTGTTAGCTTCGCAGGAGCAAATAGTTCTACGTAGACTAACTATAGGGTCGTTATTGAACGAAGTGGTGTTCACCAAGTCTATTATAGATATTGAATAAGAGCAAATACGCCTGTAAATTGGGCCCTTTTCCGTGGTTATAATTGCTTACATTTCCATTATAGTCCTGATAAAATTGTGGTTCCAGGATGATTACTAGACCACATTTTGCTGCTTGGGTGGGTAGTTCATATTTTCAATGAGCTCCACATAATATAGGTTTTGTAATCTGTAATGAGCGCGTTGACCAACTAATCCACTGATCTATTCGAAGCGAATTTTGAGATTCGGATCAGTGCATTATTTTGTTGAACCGACTCACTCAGTGAATTCAATAAAGACTTACACACATCTATTGACCAGACAGACATATGGGAGAGACCATTTTCAGTGTTGTCAATCATGTAAATTATGTAATTTAACCCCGTGTTTGACTTTGACTTCCCTTTTTATATCTGTGTTATATATTTATATTATTCAGTATCGATATCTGTTTTTATCGGCAATTGAATATGATTTTTTTTGGACGTTGATACATCGATATTTATCGGTCCTCCGTTGTATGGGAATCGATGCATGTGTGATTTTATTGCTAGTCTGTGCCTGCAACTGTCAAACGGACTAATTTATTTTGATTTGATTCCAAGATTCGAATCAACAAGGATAGATTGTAAAAAAATGATTTATCGGCTTTAGGTTACGAATTGTAAAAAATATGGCCACAGATAATGTATTAAAAGAATATTCAGATTCTATAAAATTATTAAAACACCAATGTTTCGATGCCGGTCTAAGTGAAGAAGAATTTCGCAATCTATATTTTAATTCTTTAGAATCGCTACATTCAAAGCAACACAAACAAAGTCGGACTATGATAATGAAAAAACATAAACTTTTATTAATAGGAATGCTTATGGCAGGATTTTGCATTTATAAATATGCTACTTTATACTCCTATATAATATGTAACTTGCAAGATTACATTTACCCAGGCCTACGTTTTTTAAGAAAGTTATCAATACCTTTTATCTCACTATTTCCCTCATTATCTGGTATGTTAATTAATCATATTTTTTTTTCTCTGTGTATTCATTAAATAACACAGCTTTTCTTTTTTTTAGAATATTACCATGAAACATGCATAATACAGAATCCTTTCTTCACTATAGCCGACATGGACTGCTGGCCTTGTAGCACAGTGAATAATGTTAGGGAAATTTATAAGCCTACCAAACCTGTCAATTCACAGCAAATTTCACCTTTTGTGTATTTGGTAAATTAAAAAACTTTCAAAATAATTGAAATTTGGAAGTCTATATAAATAAATAATGGAAAAGTATAATACATTCATATTTCCAGACCGATCAGCAAGTGATAAACATGATAGCACTAAAAGATATTTACTTTCAAAACAAGCAGTTGTTTGATAAAGAGGCGTCCAAAATTTTAATAGATAACAGTATTTTATTTCTTGTCATGAAATGTTTTCTCAAAAACAGTTTGAGGAAAATTTGTATATATGGTATGTAGGACTAGTCTTTATATTTTCATTCACTTTTGCCTATAACCAACTATAAAAAAAATACAATTTAGCCCAACTCACTAATTAAAATAAAGTTTAGTGTGTTTTATTTTTACAGGAAATTCAACAGCATGCCTCTTGCAAGAATACTGCGACAATATATTCCTAGACCAAAAGTTGTACCAAAATTTGGTCAAAGTACAGAAAGATTTATCATTATGGACTCAAGTAAAAAAAGCTTTAAAGTGCCTGATACAGAATGCACTTTTTCATTTCTACTATCCCTAAGTGGAGACAGAAATGTGCACCTTGTGCCCGCTGAGGAATGTAAACATCAATGTAAATCATTAAAAGTAGAATTAAAGGAAACTTTTTTATGTAAGAAATAATGAATTTTGCCTTATTTAATTCAAGATTATTATTAACATTTCACTTTGAGTATGTAATGTTTTCCCACTTTTTTATTTACAGTATGGTATAATTGGTGGTATTGGAGGCCAGTTATTCAGCCAACTTCTAGCAATGAAACGTTTATAGCACATGTTGGATCATATTGCTAATTTAATGTAGTAAATGGAAATTGAGTAAAACAAACTATATGGGAATGTACAAAACACCAATTTATTAACAATTATATTAACATAAAAATTAAATAAAATTTACTACAAATAATCTAAAGCTTTTTCATTATTCAAACTTTTCCTTTAGTTTTTCCTTTAGCAGCACTGGTATCAAAGATACCAAAGCAAATACACTTAGGAAAATAACTGATGTCCATGACCAAGCATCACTAGTGGATGTTAATGTATGGAGTGTCTGACCTGCTTGTATGGCAACAAATGACGGTGGTGCCACACCTTGAACAAAAAATAAATACATTTTATCAATTAACTACATCAGAATACATAACTACAGCACAAAACTGTTTCGGTTTACTGATAAATGTAAAGATGATACCTGTTTTTTTACTTTTTGTGACATTTATTTCTGAAAGTGTTTACATTGGTAATTTTTTTCTATGTACATTACAGCAAACTTATTTATTGACAAAAGAATTATCTGCTTTGTTATTTTTAAATTTGTAATTTAAAATAACACAATAGCAGGGTTCGTAATTATCAAGATAATTATAATGATAAATGTCTGATAATTATCCATAGTTACTGGCAACATTTTTTTTAAATACAGAAAGGCATTCATAATTGAATTAACTTTTATTTTTGTCATTTTAAATTATAAAAATATATATATAAAAATCAACTGTGCAGTCACATAGAAGAAAAAGTGAAATGAAAATATTTTTTTAATAAAAAGGCCTTTAATTTTTTTTTTTTTGTTTTGTAGGTTTATTCTTATCAATTTTCTGTATTAAAAAAGTTAAAAGATGATTCCCTTTTGATTACAAGTCCTAAAGTACAAAAAGAGTTTTTGTAGTGTTTTATAATTATCAAGGTATATTTATCACGATAATTATCACTCCAACCTTGCATAAAAGACCGACTAAGTCATTTTTCAATTGGATTCTGTGTATGAAATAAATCAAGGCTGGTTCTTGTCAGTACAAGGTCTCCCATCTATTGCAATTTGAAACATACACAGACTGATATATAAGGTCCTTTAATAACCAGGAGAGTATTAAAAAATGTACCTTTAAAATAGAATCTTAATTAAATCAATTACTACTTACCAATAAATGTCCCCAATACAAATGGAAATAGTGGTACTCCAATGACAGGAGAAGTCATATTAATAAACCAATTTGGCAAGAAGGGTGTTACCCTTAAAAATATTATATAGTTGAGCAGATTGTTTTTGTGCCTTATAATTGTTTTAGACCACTGTGCTGCTCTCTCAGGAAAAAATATTTTCACAAGTCTCTTTCCCAAGAGATTAGATAAAAAGAAACACAAACTGGCACCTATTGCTGAACAGCAACATACTAATAGTAGCGCTAAATAAAATGGAAATAAAAATCCTGAAAGAATGCTGAGAAAAATTGATCCTGGTATTGCAAAAGTCTGCAAACTGTGACATAGAGTAAAGGGTTATAGAAGTAAAATTTTCATTAGTACTGAAGTAAAAAATTCTATATAACTGATTTTTATCTATTGAAAAGGATACAATATATACACTAAAAACACTCCAAATAATACTTCATAAAAATATTTGTCTTTGTACCGGTCTAGCACCAGACCTAGTTGTTTTGCATCATCTAAATTCATTGGTAATTTTAAATGTCTTTTTTCATGTCTAAAATATTACAAAAACAAAAATAAGTAAATTTCTTTATTAGAGAAAAACTTTTCTTCAAAAATAACTAACTACTTACTCTTCTAATTCAGGGAACTGATTATATACCAGACTCAAAGCTATTATAGAACATACGAAAATTATGAGAACAAATATTAAAGCTGTTGATGTAGATAGAGTATTTCCAGAAGATGTAACATCAGTGGGTAAATCTGTAACCAAATGCAGTAATGTTCAATTTGTGATTAAAATCAGGTTAATTTAATGAAAAAATTATGATCGGAAAAAGGAATAGGTACTTGAGAAAGGATGCGGATTAAACAGTCCAATAGGGTGATATCTTATGTTGATAATCCTTGGCTGTGTAACCGCTTGGTAAGGGTTAGGGATATCAACAGTTGAGGAAACAATGGGTTCTTGAACATCACCTTCATCATTCAGTAAAGGACGAACAACTCTTCTACGATTTGTGCTCATATTTATGACCTAAATCGCTAAGACGGATAAAAAAAGATATTCGGAATAATACTACACAATTTGACAAGTTATAATTTTCTTCTCTATCCCTCCTCCCTTATCCAACATTAATATAAACAAACTGAAAGCTACTGACAGTGAAACTAATCCAATAAGTATCCAGACAATTCGTTTCTATATTATTTTTTTTCCTCCTGTGCTAATTAGTTTTGACATTTACTTTGAGAATAGAGATGTGTAAGTATTGGGAGTAGGGTTCAAACAATACTTTCTATATCTAGTCGGTATCGATTCTTTCAAATGCGATACTCGATACTGAGTACTCGATTCTACAGCAGGGTAAGTACTCGCAAGTACTCATAAAAATTGTCGGTATCGAGTATTGCTTGATACGGTTTATTTACAATTGCCATTTGGCTTCTATGCCTAAATTTAATAAATCTTCGGAAGTATTTTTTATTACCCTGGCCTCAATACAATGTGCTTCTAAGTTTCTTCCATCGTATACATTATATAAAATATATTTTTAAGAAAAAGCTCTAGAAATACTTAATAACCATTTACTTACAAAGTTAAAATTATTTTGGATAGTGTTTCATTCCAGCATTGCTATTGCTGCGGCAATGAGGAAGTATTTAAAAAAATAGTTCCCGAAATCATCAATCAATCTTTGGTCCATTCGTTTACTGCAAAAATCAACTTTTGCTAGTGTCGCAATCTAGTGAGGTGCTTTTTAGTGCTCTTTTTTAAATACTTCCTGTTTTATAAAAAATTTAAAAAATGTTTTATAAAACTGGACATAATTTAAAAGAAAACTATAGCATCAGCTATTGCTTTAGCAAAATCTACGGCAATGTTGCAAGTGCTAAACCTAAAAACATAAAAAGCAAATAAATCATGTTTTATTAAATTCAGTAATTTTGCTTATGAACTGAGTTCTCATTGAAACTACTCAGAGGAAAGTCCTTAATTTTTAAAAGTTTTAAATTTTTTATGCTAACTTACTTTTTTTGATCCTTATTTTATTTATTTTTTAATTATCAAATAATCAAAATTATTTAAAAAATGAAAAATAAAACATGTTTTATATTATTGTTCATGTCTTTCTAAATACGACAATTTTACCCACCAAACACGGCAGTAGAAATTTCTCTGGCAAAACTGTTTAATTCGTTCGTCAAACGTCTCCTCTTTGCGTTATGCAATTTTCTATGCATGAACTTTAAAAAATCTAAAATTCTAGCATGGTTTACATGTTGTATATAAATACTCGATACTTTGGGAGCGATACTTTTATGGTATCAATACCATGTCCCTCGATACCACATGAGTACTCGGTATCGTAACCAGAAGCCGATACTTCGAACCCTTATTGTGAGTAATTTAATAACTCGTAAGATGTCACGAGCGCGAAATGTAAACAGTACTTGTGTTACCCGATAAAATCAAGAACGGCACATGACACTAAAAATGGCATGGCAACGAACATGACATCAAGATATAGTGTAATTCCACAGACAATATTATCGGTCGCTGCCGGCTGCGTGCTGTCATTTTCGGCTTAAACAAAAAAAATCCCCAATTAGTATTTATTAGCTGTAATAAAAAATGTTTGTACTAAAAATAAAACAAAAAAGCAAAAATTAAAAAAAAAGGAGTTAAAAGCTATGAAAATTAATCATTGAATATAAAGCATAACTCTTAATATCTAAAAAAAATAATGGATATAGAAGTTGATTGGCTATGAAATAAGAATAAAACTTTTCAGTAAAATTACAGGTACATGAATGTACTGTATATTCGGCTGTCCGCTACATGTTAGCGAGCACGAATAGCGCATCATCTTAGATCATATTTAGAATACTAATTAATGCTTTAATGTCATATTAAGCGGTACGAAATGTTATGTCATACTAGTGGACGCCCGCGACTTCGTCCGCGTGGAAGTCGGTATCCCGTGGGAGTGAGAAGTTTTCCCAGTAAAAAGTACCCTATGTGTTATTCTGATGTATAACCTATATTGCTGTAAAGTTTTATCCAAATCCGTCCAGTAGTTTTTTCGTGAAAGAGTAACAAACATCCATACATCCATACTTACAAACTTTCGCCTTTATAATATTAATAGGATGGCATTACTTCTCAGCATACTGTTTCTCGCATATTTTTTTTGACACTGGGGATGTCAAAGTATTCGATTATAAAAATTATTGATATCATAAAAGTAAAAATCGATTTTTATTCCTGTTTTATTTTTTACATAATCGATTAACAATCGACTACTTAAAAATGATTCAATCAATTATTACCGATTTTTTATCTGCCACCCGACATTAAGTTTGATGTTTTGGCCCGGAGCCCGGAACGCGAACTGTCAAGAATATTATCTTCATTATATTTAATTTACTGTGCATCTATGAGCGCATTCTTTGGGCGCTTGTGCACTACACTGAATTTTCATGTCCGGCGGTCCGATTTTTTCCGGTCCGGAATGACATGAAAAACCCGGATGAGTAGCTTGTGCACTTGTCCGTTTTTTTCCTGATCGGAGCGGCGCAGTGTAGGGCAGCTCTCTTTGAAGTTACATGTCACTTACGCTAGGTACGATGAGATTTTTGGAACGTTGGTAATTCCGTTCGAAGACGTAGAAAGGTACCTAAATAATGATCTGATCGTTTTACATAAACCATAATAAATTATGGCAAGACGAAAGCATTTTTTTACTACTATCGGATGACTACTATCAGATGTAAAAACTTATACCCTTACTAATTTAGGAACAGCATTATTCACATACAATAGCTAAAAATATCTGTGACATTAGAATAAAATTACTGATAATGGTCTAGTACTTGATGTTTAAATGTGTTATTTTTTTTTCGAAGTTTTGTAAAAACAACTTTCAGCGATTACAGAGATAGATCAATCGGCGGCGCCATTTCGTTAACAAATCGAAATTAGTGCCGTGTTAGCGGAGAATTATTATGCTAAATGAACTTTACGAGATCAGTTGACTGCATTATATATAGGCATAATTTTATACAAGTGGTGTAGTTTCTTTGAGCAGAAATATTATTCCCTTAGAATACTTCTTTTTTTAAATTTATTAATGAAACAAACATACATTTAAAATATTATTAAATGCAAAAAAGACATTGAGTGTCACTTAATTAATTTTCTGTTAATCTTCTGTTTATTCTTTATTATTACTTCTGTTGTCAAATATTTATTTGATAATGACAAATTTCCAGGCAAACTTTCATCCCCTATTTTTCGCGATAAAATGTAGCCTATGTCCTTTCTTAAAGCTAAGTCTATTTACTATATTAATTTCCATTTAGATGGGTTCATTTGTTTAGGCGTCTAAGCGTAACAACACTTATTTATCTAACCTTAAGCTATCGATACTTTTAATACGATTTTAAAATCTAGCTAAGTATCGATACTAGAACCATACGCTGATCAAATAAGAACTATACCGAATTTGCCAAAGCATATGCAGTGATATATACCAACTATATTAAATTAATAAATATCGATTATAAGTTTATTGGAAATTAAGAATATTGCCGAAATAAATATCGATTCAAATCGATTATTTTTTCCCAAGCCTATTCCTTATGAATTTTCCGGATCTCGGACACAGTAGTGCACAAGCGTAAACACGTTTTTCATTGCCGCCATCACGGACCTGAAAAAGCCGGTCCGGAATAGAGAAAAGTAAAATTCCGGACGGTAAAATTCCTGACAGTGCACAAGCGCGCATTACCTACATATGGCCTGACATATCGGACCTGAAAAAATCGGACCGCCGGACATGAAAATTCAGTGTAGTGCACAAGCGCCCTTTCTGTATGTTGATAACAGTTTAGTTGATTAATTTAATCAAACATTCACTAGATAGAGTCAACAAACTGTAATGTTTTACCGACTTTTGGTTGATATTTATTTCATTAATTATTCGTTGATAACTTCATTTATCAAACAACAATTTTAAAAGTTTTTCATGATAAAAAGTGTTTAATCTTATTAAAAGTCTCATTAATAACAATATCTACGATTAAAAGAACAAAAACGATTCATATCACAAAATCGATTATTTTCTTAATAAAAATCGATTATACATAGTGCAACGAAAAACCGATTAGTCAAAGTTCGATTTTTATGTACAATGTTACGTCCCTATTTGGCACTGACAGTTGACTGAAACTTGATTTGCTTAAAAACAAAGGGAGCTAGTCCTCACAGCCACATTTGATTAACAACAATTAAACAATTTTATGGCTATGGTTAGAGTTAACTTATAGCTAATATATATATGATATAGTTAAGCGGTTGCTATTCAGTATTCGACACAGGCACAGTGAACACCACATCAGGTGATACAAATCTGTAAAAATTCTCACCTTGATTTCATTCCGTGACGTTCCACCTGGCCGTTTCCACTTTAAAAACCTTGGTTAAATAAAAGTATAGATACTTCCTATAATTAAAATTAATTTAATTTATAGATGTGTTTTTTTTTTTACATCTAATGGCCCCTCTCAAGTATCGGCGATGATGGGCAATCACTGGGTGCCACGATGATTGTAACCATTATTGCACCGTTATCCAAATCCAAGAATCCAAATTTTCGTTTTGGATTATTATGGCTAATTATATGTCTTCTGTACAACATTTTAGTATCGATTACAGGCAAAACAGCACGCATCCGCACCGTATCATAAATAAATACGATCATGGCTAAACTCCCTTTGATGATTATCCGAAAAACCGTCTCAGTGGCGATCATGCACGATCACCGCCGATCATACAATGGTGAAGGCCTGTGTTCGCCCATCATGGACCACAATGTAGAGCCGGTGTTATATATTGAATACGGTTTTACTCCTCTAATATTTTACTAAAGTACCTATAAGGTAAACTGCGTTCACCTCTTTTGAATACGACTATGTAATTAGTTTATAGAAATATTAACAATCCTTCTAAACATCTAAGATACGATCAAGAAAAATAGCCCTTCATCTGTTATTTGATTACGAGAAGGTTTATGTGTTAGATAACAGAACCGGGTTGTTTATCTTAATGGGACCGTCAGTGTAACATCATTTTATACAGACGGTTGTACAGTATAAAAATGCTAAAGCTAAACGTATGTTCACTGTACACTATACTTCATTTTTTTCATTAATTCCCCTCATCTGTTAATCATGAAATCGTAATTAAATATAGTAGTTTGCCTAATTTTTAACCTAATAACAAAGTTTCCTGGTTCATTACAGGGGGTTTTGACAATATGCCCTTCATTTGTTATAATATGAACAATATTTCTTTTAACGAAAGAATCTTAAAAATTCTACCAGCCGCTGGTACCCCGAGGTAAGACTCGACCCCACAACCTTTTGCAATTCAGGATTCCTGGATTGAAAAATTCCAATAGGTGAGCGACGATGAGTATTGACAAATTTTTCAAGCATTAGTTACTTTTCGGCACTAGTGAGTGTATTTTCGCCACTGTTCAGGCAATCCACACAAACAGCCGAAACAAATATTTCTATTAAGATAAATGAATAATTGAAAGGCTCTTTATTGTATACACTATAAGTAAATGAACAAAATATAATAATCCAACAGACACACAATTGGCCTTATTGCTAAAAGGCAACCTAAACATGACGTACAGGATACAATTGAAAAATTGGGTAATCTACTATGCGTTAAGAAGTCCCTAGCAGTAACAAAAATATGAATGGTTAAACAGATAAAGTGCCTGCCATAGTGTTCAGTAAGAAACCAGTTACACCGGGTCACCAAGCCAAATATTTCTTCTTTTTGACCAATCCATATTTTTTCGATTATTTTGTGCGCGTTCTATTTATTTTCATGAACAAAAACAAACAAAAGAACTTATATTTACACGCTCTAAAAATAAAATATATAAAAAAACCCTTTAAATTTTAACTACCAATTCATAACCTTATTATACATTTACCGGCCATTTTTTTAAAGCATAAAAAACTTTCAATAGTTCGCCATATTGGATTTAGAGTGATGTCACATTATTATTCTAATTATTCTCGGCAAGCCCTTTCATTTGATACCCACATTGCTGAAGTGGATAAATAATGACTATATCGCCATCTGGGATATTCCGCCATATTGAACTTTACAAAATTTCAGTTTAATCGGTTGAATTTATCTACTTCAAAATTAAGTTCAAGGGTTCCACCCAAAGAAACATTCTCATACATGGCAAGTTAAATAAAAGCTTTTAACAAATCAGTGGAATTTAATAAAATTTCAATTTTACTGCCCTACTCTCTCCATTTGATATGACGTCTACGCGAATATAATAATAATAATAATTATCATTTATTTGTCGAATGACTAAAAATCAAATAGTGTATTAAAATTATAATGAATTTACAAACTACATATTTGTAATAGAAAAATTTACTTATTGTGATGATATTTCGTTTCATTTTAATATTTTGACATGTCTTTTTGTGGATAAATTTGAGATAAGTAGGACACTGCTGCTAAATTCATATTCATCGTTCTTTATCATTCGATCTTCGATAATTTTTATACCTACTACATGTCAAAGTAGAAAAATAAAACGAAATAGCGCTATAACATCGCTAAAATGTCGTATCCTATGGCGAGAGGAGTAATCAGTCGCTCTTAGTGTGACTAGGCAACCACTGTTTTGTCTCACTTAACGTAAACACGCTTAGCAGAGACAAATACCCTAATAGAAAACGCATTTGGTTTTCTATTAGTTGCAAAAAAAACAACTACCTGGATGTTTTGTTGCATAGTGTTTTAGTTCTTTAAAATTATACCTTCAATTCATAAATATCCTTTACACATATCCAGGTCCACCTAATTTAATATCCATAATTTAGTTCCTTAAAATATCATTAATTCCAAAATAATAAAAAATATTCCGTGTAGCAAAAGAAATGCTCATAAATCATGTCGATATGTCTGCTTGCAATAAATGTAGGAGGAGACAGGAGCGGGGCAGGGTCACAGGCAGGGCAGGGCAGGGCATAGGGGGCCGCGACTGGCGAGACAATCGCTCAGTTGAATGAGATGGCGCGTCGCCCCGTTACCAGCCGTGCCGCAGACTGCGCCGAGACCGATTTAGAGACGCGTGTAACGTAAGGTGCCACTCCGCACGACCTCAAACAACTCGACTAAAACTCTAAAAATACACAATTTTAATACCAGTGCAAGTTGCTAGATCGACCAAAGGAAAATACTCTCTGTGAATTATAAACTTTTAAAATATAAACGTCACTATTGAAAATGTGAATCTAGTGAAAGTAAGCTTTCTAATAAATTTTGTACTGAGATGTCGGCAATTAGTCATAAACCTACATGAATTTCAGTGAGAAGGTAAGTGCATTAAATTTTTTCCTATTTTTGAGATTTACCTATTTTTTTATTAATTAATTATCTAAATCGAAATCTCATATTCAATACAAGGATTAAGAAACTCGTATTGAATACTAAGTGCTGTCTAACGAAGGTTTTAGCTATCTAACTCTAAGTTTCGCTTTATACAGGTAATGCGAGGAAAAAAGAAGTTGTATTTGCTAGTAGTGACGCTGGCATTAGGATATGTGTCTGGTGAGATCACTTGCCGGCGCGGAGTCACCTGGTGGGATCGGGAACGCGCCTCCTGCGTCTCCTGCACTCGGTGCGATCCAGCAAAGCGCCTCGCTGTTATGTATCCCTGCGAGCTGCACAGAGACACCATTTGCCAACCCTATTATCGGATACAATTCTTTCCGTTCAAAAAAATCAACACGAACTCTAATGACAGTGGTTCCAATGTATCCAGGGATTTTGAATACGATTATGTGGACTACGAGAGTGAAGTGATAAATGATAGTGAGCACGAAGGTCGATGGGACCTCCAGGTTTCTGGTGTGACGATAGCGGCTAGTGGTTGTGTAGTTTTTTTTTTAGTAGTGCTTTATTTCTCACTCACTCATGCAAGGCAGTGGAGGGTGCTGAAGGAAACGCTCCAATCAGGTAAGAAACATTTCGAATAAAAAAAATATTTTTTTGTACTTACTGGTATTTGTTTGTTAAATATTTGAAAATACTAGTTTTAACATGCATATCCTTCCGTCAGAAGCGCATTTTTATTTATAGTAAACTGCTTTATATTCCTAATCGAAGTCATCGGCCTTTTAATGCCCTCCCCTCATACAAGAGCCTTCCGCATGGAAAATATCATCAGCTAAACAAATTTTTGTGCTTGTCCATTATAAAATAAGGGTAAATTGTGAATAAGAAAGAACCAAGGATGGAACCCCGTGAAACTCTTATCTTAATTATCACTAATGTTAATAGTCTACTATTTTTAGTCAAACATAAAAGCAAAGATTTGACAAAAATTGTAAAAGTGACAATCGACAAAATATAGAAAAACAATGTAGCAAATGGTCAACAGCTATCTTTCTTTTCTAACTTACTTGGGTAATATAACAATAATATAAACTATGCATCTGTTGTTCGGTTTAATATTACCTAGAATAATTACACAAACAAAGTCCATGAAAAATGTGATACAATGTTATACGGATCCTTTTATATTTCTTCATTCAAGCGGAGACTAGTGTACTTAACCTAGGGACAAAGAAGGATCTCTGTCATTTTTTATTTATTTATTCAAGATAGGTTCGATGACAATCACGATAATATTATCGGCGAAGTATTTTTTATCGAAACCGAAGCCACGACGGCATTAGAAGAATATTAAAATATTGGTACTAACTTATTTCAAAATACTGAATAATTTTAACAAGATTTGATTATTATGACATGACGCAATACAAAATTTCATATTGAATTGAAAATGACTCGAGACGTGATTATTATACTTCAAGGCAACATAAATATAGCACAGGAAGTAGATAAACTCGCAATTGGAAGTTAGAAATAGTGTTATTGTTCCTTTTTCTCCAATGTCTAATGTTTCTGACTGTAGGAAGGAAAAGAAGAGACACTACACCTGTTACCCGTCCACCTCCCATTTTCGACCATTTAACGGTCCTTGTTGCCTTACCAGGTTTTGATATATTATTACTGGCCTCTTTAAGGAGGCTTTTATACTTATTTTTAATTTATATATTTTTTACCTTTTGACTTTGTCAGTGTGTTTTGGTTTGTCTTGTATCTTATGTTTTATAAGTTAGTCATAAATAAATCTTTTTCCTTATCATTAAAATTTTATATAGTCCATTGTGCTTGCTTTCGATTACAGTCCTCCTTTATAAAAAGATCAAAAACAGTAATGTTGATATACTCAGTTATCTAATACTTAAACAAATGACAATCTGTATATACTGATTACCCTCATATACACACATTAATATAATTTAACGAAGCTTTAAGTCAAAACCAACTAATAAATGTGAGGGTTACAGGCGGGCAGCATCGCACGCCTCATATATTAGGAAAAAAAATAGTAAATTTCTTTATCAAACTATTAAAATGAGGAGGTCAAAAAAAACATTAAGTTTTCGACCAGGTACCAAGTCGAAAAATGGGTACGCACGTACAATTAAGAATTCTTTGCTGCGTGTAAAATGTATGGAACTTTGTTAAATCTAATTTCATAATGCGAGTTGTAGTAACCATTATTAATCAATAGTCAGTTTTCGTCCAATATTTTTTATATACAAACTGATTATAATATACAGTTAAGATGGTCAGAAATTAACCTAATTTTGCGACTGTTTTTTTTTTCATTTAATTAATAGTTATACAAAACTTAACGAGTTAATTGGAATTTGGAGCCCATAAAAAGAGGAATTACCACAAAAATCGATTCGAAATGTTTCCATTGAATAAGCAGACGATAGTAATATCATAACAGTGATACACAAGAAATTTATTTTATTTTTGATAGGTAACTCATTTTTCTATGGTTACTTTTTAGAAAATCTTTATAAAAATTGATTATTTACATATTTATAATGTTTTGTTCTGAATGACTGATTGTCGGATCAACATACAGCCTTAACTGCTGATCAAAGAGTCCCGTTTTTTGTAGAATGTGTTCTTTATAAGACGTACCTAATCATCCGGTAAGAAAGAATTTTCCGTAATTCTATCTCTAGGAGGGTGAAAACCGCGGGCAAAGTTTGTAGGACACAAAGTTATGATTCCATGGTTTGGTTAAATTTACTTGAAATTACAATTGCATAAACATCTTTTATAGAATTGATGAAAGACGTGTTTCATATTTTACTAAAAATCATCACCTAAAAAGCAAAATGTAGAAGAAAACTAGATTTTTTGGACGTAAACCGGTCAAATCGCAATTTTCACGTTAGAATTTAAACATAAAAAAACTACTCGTATTAATGTGCCTATCAAACACTATTAATTATTCAAAATACGCTATATTTGGAGTCACCACTATTTTTTGTGAACAAATTACTTCGTAAAACATTCATATTTTTATACTCAAAGTTGGCAACTCCAGTAATTGGACGAAAACAGGCTTATCTACCACACCTTCATTTCAAACTTTGTTTAGTTGTCTGTGATTATTAGCCAGTAACTATCACTAACTTTCTGGGTAAAGGTAGGATAACTGATATACTATAAAACATTTGCGTTAAAAATAAATCAATCGGGATACGTAACATAAACATTTGTAAGTTTACATTAAACAGAAGCCAAACTACGTTTTGAACGTTATTCTGAGTTGGTAATTCTGTAATATCTTTTTTTACCACTTTTTAATGAAAAACCATTTTATTTTTACATTTTTAGTGATAAAATATATGAGAAGTTACTGATTATTAATTTTAACAAAGAAATTTGTACTTTAGGAGGATGGGCCTCGTTAGAAATTTATGAATCGAGAATATAGGTTTACTTTAAACAAACAAAATACATTATTAAAATCGGTCTACAATTGACGAAGACATCATGAAACAAGAATAAAAAGCAAAAACTCGATGTTGAAAAATTCAGATAAAAATAATGATGCTTGTGCATCACCCATCTCCATAAGCTTGTTTGGCTATATGGGTTTCGGCGCACGCGTCGAACACGGGTAAACAATCGCGTTTGTTTGAACATGTGTGCTACTAATTTTGCCCTGGCTAGCGGGCCGTACGCGTAACAATAGGTACCTAACGGTTTTAGTTGCAACCGCCCATTCCTAAATTAGAACGACCATAAGATAAGTAAATTTTAATTCCTCAAGATATGCAGCTATTGACGGTTCTAAGTCTGAAGCATTCCAAATAATCTCAATAGTTTATACTTACCTATATTACAGAAAAGAAAGATTGAAAAAATAAAACCGACTCCAAAAATGTGAGAACTTCCGATTTTAAAGGCGATTCATATGTTCATGAAACTTTTGTGTTATTGAAGTTGCGCTGGTTTTATAGGTTTATATTAACTGCTATACTGTCACGTTTTTCAGTTGGTTATTTATTTTATTATTTCTAGTGATAAACCTATAAAAATATATTAAATGCTGTGTACGAATTGGGCGAACGAACATTAAATATACATTCAATGCTACGATCATCACATTCGATAACAAACTTTAAAAAAAAAGTTAAAGTCTATATATATACATATATGGTTAACGGTTGCACAAACGTCCATTAAGGTTTAATGGGTCGTCAAATTTGTATCCGTAATGTCGCTTTAAACTATAATACTCGTAAACTTGTAAATCCAACTTAAGTGTGACAGTTTTACTATTAACCTCGTTATATAAGTACTACTGCCGTAACGTTTGAATTTCATCAACGACCGTTTAGTTGGTAGAGGGGGCACATTTGACTCTAACAAAAATTAACTCTTTAAAACTTAATAAGTCACGAATGGTTTACTAAATCCATCCCACACCCCCGATGTTTTTGAAAGACCTATTCAACGATGCTCCACACTATAGGGAAGATGAAATAAAATATCATTCCCACTTTACAAGTAGGGGAGGCACACTAGAAACATTTTTTTCCAAATTTTCTCTTTACCTCTTTGTCGGCGTAACTAATATGCATACTTATGCCAAATATAACTTTCTCGTACCAATAGTTTTTGAGCTAAGCCGCGGACGGACGGACGGACAGATGGACATAAATAGCAAAACTATTTGTTCTCTCATAGATTAATAAGGTTTTATAGTTCATAAATAAAAACGTAATTGAGTGTCTGGTTGACACGTAATAATAGAGATCCAAATAAATTACAAAGACACAATATCATTTTAATATCAATATTACGAAAAACCTGCAAATAAACCTACATTGCAGCGATCGTGACTGGACCAATGTGGGGAAATTTTCCCTCTTTAAGTTTATTTGCAAAATTTATCACCAATGTCAACCAGACAATCAATTTCGTTATTCTTTATAAACTATAAAACCTTAGTACATAATCTATGACAGGTTCCTTGTTTACTACGGAATCCTAAAAAAAGCCAAATAATACTTTTAATTTTACTATTATCAATAAAGGGCTTCCCACTGTCTGTGCGCTAAGATATTTCAAACTACACAAGGAATTTTAATACGCTTTCAATAATATACATAATATATATTTATTAATATATAAAGTGTACAAAAGGAAGATTTTTTTACGGTTTACTTCTATGCCGTTCTGCAGACATGCAAGATTTGACTGCAAAGATGAAGCTGATGGAGTCAGGCGCAGAAACGAATGAACCTGTAACCACCGACCACCACATTTATTGTAACGTCCATGTCGGAAAAGACGTTCTGCTGGGTAAGGAGGACACTGAATGACTTTTAGAAATCGACACGCCCCCTTACATAATTACAGGTGTCTACGCTAGTGTGGGTTAGCTCATTGCACGTTCCTCAGAAGAATAACAAATGCCTATCGGTTCAGCGCCAGCAGATAAACTTTGTACTAATAACAATGACGTTTTATAACAATCAAGTGCTTTGAGTTAGCTCTCTAAAGTGCTTACACAATAGGTGGCGCTGAATTTTTTTACAAGAAAGGAATAATTTCTTTTTGCTCCAGAT